CACATATGAGTCACTTATATCATTTACTCCATGAGTGTTTTAAGTTGGAGTTGTGGGATACTTTACTGTTCACTGCATATACTTGTGATTGCTTATACCTACATTGTTGAGATATGTAATTTTGCTCTATCTCTTTGACATTTGTGACAAAAAGGGGGAGAGATTTTTATTGTAAGGGGGAGCTATATCATTTGCATTTATTGTTTGTTGAGCAGCTACATATGTCTTTAGGGGTCAATGTAGTAAGACATAGATACATTTGCATACTGCATAAAATATTGAGAGTTTACAGTAAGGGGGAGCATGTGCATTGTATCTGCATTGCATATCTTATGCATATCTATTTGAGTTTTGATGTTTTGTGATGTTAATGTTTCGGTTGGTATTTTGATTGACATTAATGTCACGTCTCAAACTAGCATGCTTATTTGTGCTGATGAGTTTTTGATTTCCTGTATCACATGCTTTTACACTGGGTATGTGAGTTTTGATTTCAAGATACATGATGAACAAAGTGAAAGCTTCGTTTAGATTGATTCGGTCGGACTTGAGTAATTTTGATAGGTTGTTTTATGTTTTGTATTTGGTTTTGTCACAGAATGTCAAAGGGGGAGTTTGTTAGATTTTTATATTGTATTGGCGATTCTGGGAAACAAAAGGACCAACTTGAACAATTATAAAAGTTTAAAAACTCAATTGTGAAGTTTCATAGTTGGTAGGTTAGCCTAAGGTTTGGGGTTTTATGCTTGGAACTAGGTTAAAGACTTCGCGCATTTTCGCTAGCTGCTCGCCGGAAGCATGCTTGAGCGACTGAAATAGAACAGTCTTCGCTCGACTTTCTCCAGGCGCTTGCTCGAGCGACGTATCGTTCGCTCGAGGGACAAAACGGTTTCGCTCAAGCGACGGTTGTATATGAAAAACCTAAGACACGTTTATTGATGAGTTTTATACGGCCCAAGTCTCCTAAACAGGTTCAACTATAAATAGAGGCGCCGTGGATGAATTCATTGTGGTTGCTACATTATTCTTACATTAAGAGATTCATTAACATATTTGAAAGAGATCCAAGAGGCAAATCATTGAGAGATTTATCAACTTATTTCTTGAAATCCAGCAACCCGATTTTGGAAAACCATCAATTCCTTAAACCGAAACACCACCTACTTCTTATTGGTCATAAGAATGTACTTTCTCAGTTGGACTTCAAAAGTTTCTGGAGGTTG